CTATCTATCTATCTATCTATCTATCCATCCATCCATCCATCCATCCACCCATCCATCCATCCATCCATCATCTATCTATTCCAGGATACCATATCATGTCTCTGATAAAATGGACTCTTGTCCTTAGTGGTTTCTATCAATGTAAATTCACTAAATTCTTATGTGCCCAAAAAAGATTTTGCTACTACTGGACATAATGAGTTTTCTCTCCTCCAAAAATAACTATTTATAACAAAGTGGTCCAGAAAAACATATATTGGAAATGTTATTTGGAAGATATTGGTTATGATTAAATCATCTGGAAAATAACATATCTACAAACCAAACACTGATTCAAACTAATTTGTTGCTCAAGTAGTAGTGAACCTATGAATACTTACACACAGCAATTTATGCCAAAATTTATTACCCCACATTTTGCAGGATTTAACAAAGCTTTCCAAAAATTGTGAGTAGAATAAAGATAAATACTAAACTTGATTTGACTTTATTAAAAATTAAATAGAGTAAATGTGATTAATACATATGATTGGAAAAAAATGCTTAAAAAGATGGAGCATCTTGAACACAATCTTAACCAAATGAGTCAGAAATACATGACAGCTGTTTTCCTCTTCATATATATATATTCACATAATATATATTATTTTACATAATGGCCTCTCTACCAACACATGAGGAATTTTTCCATATTATTTTTAATCATTTAATAGCCAGCTTATTAAAACAGATTTTATTTCTTATTGTATTCTCTAGCCAAGTGCTGATGATATTTTTCTTGTTATGAAAAAACTTTATGAAATGCCCAAACCTACATAAAACTCACCAGAGAGCCAACGCTTTGCCTGTGGACAGTTTCCCTGCCAAAGAAAAAAATAATACAAATCACCAATGCAAAGAGAAGTTAGGAATAATTTGACATGCTCCAAATATCACAGAATTCAGTTTAGATTTATTCCATGCAATATAGAATGAATAACTGCAATATTGACCTAGTTCATACAACATGCAAAAGAAAACCTATCTTTTTATCTATAATTTAAAATATTTTGTGAACCGGCCATTGCAATTTGCAAACTACAATTTATGACTTAGTTCTGTGTCACTCCTGTTGTTAGTCAACAAACCATGGTCAAAACAATTTATGGCTTATCATGGCAGATAAGATACTACCGTGTTTTCCCCAAAATAAGACAGGGTCTTATTTTCTTTTGACCCCCGAAATGTTGCTTGGGCCTTCTTATCGGGGGGGGGGGAACCCCCTTTCCAGCCGGGCAGAGAGCTACTCACCGACCCAGTAATATCCCAAAGGCGCTAAGCCGCGTGGCACTCTGCCCAGCTGGAAAGAGAGGCTGCGCGAGCACCTGTTCTGCCCCCAGCTCATGTACCTCCCAGCCTCACCATGCCCTGGCCCAGCTCTCCCTGCAAGGCTAGGGTGCCGCCACACTGCCGCTACCACCACCGTGCTCCAAGCATAACTGGCTTCCAAACTCTAGAGATCCGCTGCCAAGTCTTCCGGCAGCACCCGCTCTGGGACTACTCTCTATGGTTGTGGGCTGGCTGCGGGAAGACTCTCTGTCCCAGCAGAGTCTTCATCTTGTACATCTCCTCTATATATTTTCTCCCTAAATATAATACCCTGTATTTCTCTTACTAGGAGGACACTGTTCCTTCTAACCCAACCAGATTATTTGGCAATTTTGTTCTATCTTCCTGAGTGTTGGCCAGATCCCCTTTTTTGTGTCATCCACTTATCAAAACTGTTATCCAGCTGATTCATTAAAAATGGGATGATACTGCCCCTAGGAAAATCTATACAGAATCCATTCATTTTTCAACTCAGCACAGAATCATTAGTGCTGACTTTTATGAGTGGGGTCAGCCATTCATAACTATCCTTACTGTAGTGCTATGCAAACTATCCTTCAAGAGCTTATTGATGAGAATGTCATATGAACATTGTCAAAAGCTTTGCTGAAATAGACAGATTATATCCACAACATTCCCCCTGTCTGCTAAGCCATTTTATCATACCATGTCTTCCTCACTTATGGACTCCACACATTCATGAAGTTTGAGAAAACAAATCCATGGATTATGTGCCATCAAGATATGTTTAGTGGCTACACAGACTTTGTGCAAGATGATAGGTGGTATATCATCCTAAATGTAGATGACAACCACAACATCCATTTAAGATCTCAATATATTATAGTCGCATTCTAATCTACCATATTCTGTACTTTCCATTTTTTCTTCTAGTTGTAGAACTCAATGATGCTACGGCCAACTCACTAGTCAAATTTCAAAAATAATGCACAAAGCTGTTTTGGAGGAATTATGCATATTTTATCACTGCATCCAATGATTTCCTTCATTAACTGATGCCAAAATATTTGTTTCTCATTTTACTTAATATTCAAGTCCACAATTTGAATGTGTTCTGTCTGTTTTTCATTTCGTAATAATAATTCATAATTGTTCATGCCTTAGTTTTCCCTCTAGGACAGAGGTGTCAAACTCAAGGATCAGGGGCCAGATCAGCTTACAGGGTGATTAGATCTGGCCCACACGGCTGCCTCGGGAATATAGAAGGACTGGCCTGCAATGCTCCTGTGCTCCGTTTTCAGCTGTCACAGCTTCCTGCAACCTTCTGCCAGTGAAAATGGAGCTTGGGAGCCCGTTTCTGCTGGCAGAGCGCTTGGGCCGCCACAGGCACCCCCAACATGAGTGATGTCAAGCTGGCCACGTCCACCCTGGCCATGCCCAACCCGGCACCCCGAGGTGGCCCTCAAGGAAATCGAGTTTGACACACCTGCGCTAGAACATTACATTTAGCCTTGTAGATGCCTTCCTTTTTAAATATGGTGTATATATATATATATATATATATATATATATATATATATATATATATATATATATATAT